AATCCCAAATAAATTGCATAGCCTACATCAAATTTGTAGGAGATTTTAGATTTTTACATCAATTTTGGATAATAAATTATCTTTTTTTTTTTTTTTGGTTTACATTTGTTAATCGTTGTACAGCTTTAAATAACCTATAATAAAAATAATAATATAAACTTACAATGACATAAAACATAACAAACATAAACAACGTATCTGAAAGAAGATCGCAAGGATCTTGTCGTCAGAACCTTAAAAAAGCATTTAACAAAGATATGATTAAAAAAAAATTAATAAACTTTTACAAAATTGCAAGGCAAACAATCTGTGTCTGAAGAAAGATCAAGAGGATCTTATCATCAGATTTTTATACAAGAGTATAAAAATCTAATGAGAAATGATAACCAACATATAAATTAAAAAGTAAAAAGTATAAGAACAATCAATAAATTAAGTAGGAATAAACTTCTATAAACATAAAACTTCTATAAACAAAAAAAAATAGACCAAAATATATTTTTAACTTTTATTACTAATAATAACTCAATATATTATCTAATGAAAGAATGAGGTTTTTCAGATTTTTTAAAAAAGGCAAAAAGTAATAGGTACTTCAAAATTAAAATTCGCTAAAACTATTTTATTCCAAAGGTGTGGCGCTCGATAGGTAATACAAAATTGATTAAAGTTTGTTTGACAGAAAGGTTCATTTAAAAAGTTATTATTTCTCAAAATATATTTACTGATTTAAAAGAGAAAAGATCTTTGAATACGGCTAGGGATAAGTTATTTATTCACATAGACACAAAACATAAAATATTAAATACATTTAACTCGTAAATATTAAGAATTCTCATTTCAATAAAATAATGCTTTGAATGAGAGAAGCGATTTGCAAAATTGATTATACGGATTGCACGTTTCTGACGGAGATAAAGACGTTGCAACTTACTTTTTTCTGTACTTCCCAATAAAGCAAACAAAGCAATATAAAAAATAAACAAAGCAATATTGGCATAATTTAAATAACTATGTATAAATGAATAATAAAGTTGGGTTAAGACTTTCTTATCGAGATTTGTGATTTATATAGTATGCCCGTGTTTTTAGAAATTTTTGTGCTTATATAATCAATATGGTGATTTCAAGTAATGTTTTCATCAAAATAAACATGTAAAAATTTTGTAACAAAATTTCTTTTTATTTCCTTTTGATCGATAAAGGTTTGAGGTAATTTTGATGGGAGATATCGCTTTTTTGTAATCGAATGAAATAAAACCCATTTCGTTTTATTAGTATTCAAGGTTAACTTATTACACTTAGATATATGTCTGACCAATGTATATAACCAATTAGATATATGTCTGAGTTCTTTGTTCACTGTTTTAAAAAGTTCATCAATATCATAGTTAGAAAGGAATAAATTTGTATCATCTGCATACATAATATTTGTTAATTTTGAAGCTTTATTTAAGTCATTTATATAAATTAAAAAAAGGAGAGGTCCAAGAATTAAACCTTGTGGGACTCCACAGGTTATTTTAAGAAAAGTTTACGATTGTAAGGCTTAGGGTAAAAGACTAAAGTTTTACAGCTAGTAATTAGTAAAGTAACTGACCCTTCCAATTAACAGTAGTTAAACTATATAACTGTATTCAATATACAACTATTCACTATATACATAGCGAGGAACAATTACAAAGAATTATTCAACCAATCAAGTGTAGTCTTTGTTGTAGTACATTTATTTAAATAAAAGCAATAGGCAAACAAAAATAAGCAAAATGTAAAAAAATGTTATAATAATAACAAAAGCAAGGTTAATTGATAATACATTGTTAATAATAAAAATTAAGATTAATGATATAGTAACAATAAAGTTAATAAGAATACAAAAAATCGAAATGATATCATTAATTTAAAGAAATAAAACTGTCATGATTATTAACAGAAGCCATAATAGCTATATTAATAATAGAAATAATAGTAGTAACAGCAATAAAAAGAACAATAATAACTGTAATAATAGTAATACTAAAAATAGAGAAATCATAAAAGTTGTATAGTTATAATATAAATAAAGTTATTATAGTAATTACAATAGAAGCAGTAGAATAATATTGTAATATTCTTCTACTGCATCACATTCACTGCTATTATTCAAAGATAAATGGGAGAGTAGAAAGTTGAAGTTAAATTTATTTTAGAGCAGTCATATTTATTTCATCAATTTATGAATTTACCTATTAGTTTTTTTTGTAATAAATTTTTGATTTTTTCAATTATTTTTATTTTCTAATAATTAAATACACACTACAAAAAATTTATGGCAATTTTATGGAAAAATGTTTCAGGTAATAAAATTATAATAATTATAACTTTATAATTATGCAAGACTACTGTTTTCAGATTTATAATTAATTAATAATCATTAGTGGATAATGTGATATTAACAGGACAAGTAATGAGACTTTATTAAAAAATTTTATGATCTAATAACTGGCAATATATTGTAAACTAATGTTATTATTATACAAAAAAATATAAATAGCAAAAACTATAAAAAAAGCAATACATTAATTTTTTCATTACCATAAAACATGAGAGGAAATGCTTTAAAAAAAATTTATCTACAAAATATATCATAATATATTTTTAATAACATTTATGATTGTTGGGCAAAGCTTCATCTTAAATATCTACTCATATATATTACACAAATTTGTTTCAAATTAAATAGTTTATACATACATACATACATACACATACATATACATACATATATGTGTGTGTGTGTGTTTGTGTATAAAAACCATTGGATTTTTAATATAGTTGATGACAAAGGTATCAATATTCCCTTGAAATATTGTAAAAGTAAATATATTTTTAACAAATATGAATAAAAAGAGGTTTTATTTCAAAATTCTATACAATTAAATTCTATTGAAGATGCCAACATTTAAAACATGTATGTATGTATGTTTGTATGTATTTATGTATATGTATGTATGTATTAATATATATGTATTTGGTATTAAATGTTTTTAAGTCTTTGAAACATTTATCTGTATTCTTAGATAAAGAAAACTGAATTTTCTTCATTTGATTAACAATTAAATTTTAGTTGCTTTTTCTTCTTAGTGTTCTTTCTTTAAATTTTCTATCCCATCTCGATTAAAAATTATTTTTTATTGACAGCATTTTCTTTATTCTTCTCTTGAATGTTATAAATTTTTGGGACAAAGTTATAAATAAACTTCAGAGCTCTAAAATTGTTCATATCTTTGATACTCAACCAGTTTAATTTGTAGATCATTTAGGTTTGCCTCAAAAGATTTTAGTTACCAATTCTTATAAAAGCAGTGATTGACTTGTATAACGTTTTGTTTAACCACCTTGTTGAATTTTTATTTCCTTATTTGAATTAATCAGTCTTGTTTGAGCCCGAGTCTATTCGCACGACCGTCGTGCATATAACGAAAATAAGCTTATTCGCACGACCGTCGTGCAAATAACGAAAATAAGCTTATTCGCACGACCGTTGTGCAAATAACAAAAATAAGCTTATTCGCACGACCGTCGTGCAAATAACGAAAATAAACTTATTTGCACGACCGTCGTGCAAATAACGAAAATAAGCTTATTCACACAACCATGTAAAACAATAAAAACGGCTTTTAGCACGACTATTATATGCATGTATATGTATATTACATGTATACATTTACAAATTAATTGAAATCAAAAGAACAACAACAACAATTCACGGTATAAAATTTGTTTAAAATGCACATCCTATTTGTTTAAAATGCACATCTGACGGAAAAAAGCAGGCAAGGATCCTTATTTTCTTACAAAATTTGCAATTATAGCTACGCCAGCCAAGTCCACCATTAAAATTTTTTAGCGATGGTGGTAGTCTAATGTGGCAGTTAATAGAGAATTCCAGTTTTTTTACTACAGCATTTGTAAAAAAGTTATGTCTTTTATCATGTTTCAAAAAAATTTCGGCTTCTTATTCAAATTATTCGGCTTGTTCTAAGACTTTACTTAGATCCTCAATAAACTGGTCCGATTTATGACGTTACAAAATTGATTCAATCAATTCTATTAATTGTTTTGTACTAATTGTATAAGTTCACTACGCTGTTTAAGGTCACTACGCACACGGCGAGTTTGAAGGGTAATCGTGTTAAGGGTGAAAGTGAAGGGTAGTTTGAACTTAGACTTGTTAAACGTTTGTCGTATATTAGGTGATTAGTGTCTTAACCCAATTTTGCGGTTCGATACTGAATTCTTTTAATTGTATTTATATATTCTCTGCAATGATAAGTCTAGACAAGTATAGTCACTAATATGTTAAGGCGTGATATATATAGTATATATTACGCCGTAAACTCCAAATAGAAAGTTCAAAATAGATTATATTTTCTGTTGTACATTTTGACTTAATATTAAATTTTTAATTTTTAATATTAAAGTTAATATTAAATTTTAACTTCTATACACTTATATTTGATCTATTTTTATATAATCGCAATTACTGTGTATACACTGGAACTAATTACTGTGTATACTGTGCAACTAATTACTGTGTATACTGTGCAACTAATTACTGTGTATACTGTGCAACTAATTACTGTGTATACTGTGCAACTAATTACTGTGTATATTGTGCAACTAATTGTTTTTTAACTCTAAGTTTGTAATACTTTTTTTTTTACATGGGTCAAGGCAATAGGTACCGCTTGCTGGTTCTATATTCTATAAACCTATAACACTTAGAGAAAGAGTTATTCAAATAAAGTAGTAATGGTTAAAAGGTACTCAGACATCCAGTTTTGGCATTCCTAATACAAATCAACTTTTGGCTAGAGTAGTTTTTAAACTTCTAAAATAAAATATCTCTTTATAAACTCATTCAGATTTCAAGAAATGTATAATACGCGCAGCTGCAGAGAAAACACAAGAAAAATGTGTAATAATTATATTCTGGTTAGGAAAACTTTTTTTAAATATCATTTTCATCATCGCCTTGGATATGACTATCTTCACCAACTTGAAACAGAAAAGAAACTTGGTTAAACTTATATAATACCGTTTATACTGATTAGCTTTGATATCTCGACATACTAAAACATAAAAATTTAGTTTGCACACCCATTTCAAATTCTTTTAAAATGAATGTAAGAAAAGGAAATAAAAAATAATTTTTTATTTACTTTACCTATTGATGCCTTATATATTTTACATCTATCGACTATTGTTCCTTTACGTTTATTTACCATAAGATGCTTAAACCCTAAGCACCTTAGGGTAAAAAAACGTAAAGGAACAATAATATTGGTATTGTAAAACATATAAGGTATCGATAGGTAAAGTAAAAAAAATAATTTATTCTTATTTCATACAGGGAGTTTTGGAGGGAAATAAAAGGAAGTGGGAATTTTATCCCAGATCTAATTAACGGGGTGTGGACAGGCGTAATAAAAGGGTTGATGGGAAAAGTTTTTTTTTTTTATCGGTTATTAATATATATTTTTTTAAACTTTTTTAAAGTTTTGAGATGTAACGTTTTTATTGTTAACAAGTATATCAATAAACGGGGGTAGGGGGTCTTAATACGCTTAGGATAGGTGGCAAAATTTTCAAAAATTAATAAATACTCGCTCCTTAAATAAAACACCTTAGTTAGCTGCATGAATTACAATTCCAATGTAAAGAGTTGTCAGAATTATCAAATATATTCTTTGGAATGGAAAGGCATGAAACGTGAAACCACTCCTTACAATTGTCGCATTTAACCATTTTTTCTTCTTTATTATCAGGAAGACGACATATGCAATATAATGGTACATTAATTGGTTTAGGTAGTTTTTTCTTTTTTCGTTCATTAGTCTCTATAGGGAATGGCGTTAAGTAATTGTCACTGAAGCATTTTAACAAATGATCTCGCATAAGTTCTTGCTTATAGCATTTTATGCTTGGATCATAATTGTAACATAAATCTGTTGCCGCTGCAATTGCAAAAAGACCACAATCAAGCCCACCAGATTGTTTTTGGAAATCTTTGAACTGTAATTTCAAAAAAGGTTCTTTAACCATCATGGTTGATCCTACTTGCATCTTTCCACTAACACTTAAGTCATAATATAAGGAATCAAAAACATCAACTGAGTTAAGATGGGTACTTAAAAAATTTGAAATGGTAAGCCAATGCAATGCACCATTATGTAAAATTTGAACAAACTTTCCAGATTGCACTCTAAAATGAAGTTTTGACCCAAGAATAGGGTCTTGTAATCCTTTTACATCTGGAAACTGCATGGATAAAAGCTTTTGTGCTTTGTTTATGTGCAAATCAGATAACATCTCGAATGAGTCCTTAATGGAGAGTAGTTGAAGATCTATGACAGAGTGTTGCTTTTTTAATAACTGTTCCTTATGAGCAGTTTTGCCTAAAATTCGCTGACACGATTGATGGTAAGGATCATTATACAAACCCCGCTTCCTTTTGAGTCTTGCTTTTTTAATTTTGACATTTCCTACAACTGGAGGGACTTTAGGTAAGCATACATTTGCTAAATTATTAAAAATGTTTGTTGCTTGGCCGGTGCAGCATTCAGATTTAGTTGTAGGAAGATCTTTGAAGTTTACGCTGTCATTTAGAGAAGATTGATTTGGAGATAAAACGCTTCCTTGATTTTGAAGTTGTTCATTTAAATTTAGACTAGATGGTAAAGCAGAGAACAAAGATTCATAAAAGTTTGGAGAACTGGACATCTCTGGCAAATCAGACATTTCAGGCAACTCTGACGTTTCTAGAAAATCTGACATTTCAGGCAAATCTGAGATTTCAGGCAAAGCAGACACTTTGGGCAAATTAGAGATTTCAGGCAATGCTTGCGCTTCCATATCAGAAATTATAACTTTTTTCCCAGCTAACCACAATTTATAAATTAAATTTAAGGAATCAATTTTTTCTTCAAACTCGTTCATTCCGAGAGTGGATAAATAATACGAAATTGGTTTACATAGATTCATGACAGTTTTAAATTTCTGATCTTTAGAAAATAGCACTTTTAGAGCCTTTTTTTCGGTTTTATTAGTTGAAAAATGAAAAACATTGTTAGCCTGATTATGCAAACTTCTGGTCTTACGAGAAAGCCAACTTTTTTTTTGATAGCTTAAATGCCATCGCTCTCCTGCATCATCTGCTTTAAAAATAGCATCACCATTTACTATTTTCACTGCAATTGTATGTCGACAAGGAAGTTTCATAGTAACCTGCAAAGGACACGAACATACTTTATTTAACACTAACAAATCTGTGCGAGACTTTTTTAATTCTGCAATTACAATTCCAGCAGCATATGGAGTTAGAACTTTTACAATATCATCTGTAACTACATCTTCATCAGTACCTAATCTATATGGCTCTTTAAAAGATTGATTAAACTCAATATGAGCCATTTGTTCAAATTTACAAGTATGTAACAAAAGGATACCTTTTACTGTCTCTGCTAAAGACATTTTCCTAGACAATATGTTTTTAATTTTTTGGTTATGGGACTCGAACCTGTTATTTGTTGTATTACCAAGATTAACATACTTGATAGTTTCATAGTATGCCCAATACTTAACTTGGTGTGGCAAGCCCCAATTTTTGTTGTAGTATGCCATTACAACTTCTGGTGCAACTGTAGCAAGATGACCCAAATTTATATCAAACAATTTCTTTGATTTTGCATACACAAGCGATTTAAATATTTTTTTTAGATTATCTTTTTCTATACTAGCTAAACCTTGTTTATTTAAAAATCTATAAAATGCTTGCAAAACATGAAACTTACACAGTTGGATTTCTGCTGTAGGCATAACCTTGGAAACTGCACCTATTTCTTTCAGGTCCTTGTCAAGAATGACAACCTTTACTTGGTTAAGATTCAGTTAAAGTTCAATTTCTGTAAACACATCATGCAGAGTGTTTTTAGTTTCTTGTGCAATGAAAGCATAACCAACAGCCTGACCTGTTCCATTTCCATCCTCAACTAACAGAGTGAATAAAGGCATTCTTAATTTGTTTGTGCAATATGTGCAGTCAATCATTAGCACTTCAGGAAACATATCAAACACCTGCTGCATATCTCCACTTATTAGTAAAAGAAACTGCAGAACACCGTCTGAATCAACTTGAACAGATATAACTGCATCAGGATCTTTTTCACCTGAAATTAAAAATCAAACTTTAACTAAAACTTTTAGATAGTATGTAAATAAAATAAATTGATTAATAAAGTGTATTATTTAAACTAAAGTTGAACTATAACCCATTTAACTCAAAGTACAATAAACCTCTGAATAAATCTCTGAATACATTTAGGTTAAAATTATCAGGCGTTTGCTGCCTCTATATATATACTCTAAATCATAAATCCTGTAAAATACAAAAATTGAAAAAGAAAAGTTAGAGCAGAAGGCTTACAGAAGGACATTAGTTCATCGATCAATAAAGCCTCATTTGATTTTTCACAATTGCGTTCTAGTTCAATTTTTTTATTTATGTTGAATAAATCTTTCGATGTTACTATTTTTCTTTCTTTATTTTTTAAATATTCTTTTAAAAAACAGACTTTAACACCAAGTTTAAACATTGTGCCAATATCATCTTTAACTATTTCACTTAACCGGCGTTGTTCAGGGTAATGCATAAAAGCAGTTCTATGAAGGCATAAAAATAAATACTAATAAAATAAAATTTAAAAATAAAAATTACAATAAAAAATACAAATTAACTCAAAAAAGTAAAAAAAGTACAATTTTTTTTCAAAATAAACTAATAATAAAATATAGTTGTACTAACCTGCTGACTTCATGGTTATGGTTAGCCTGAAGTTGCTGTACTACTAGTTTTGTTTTATCTTTATTAATACTAATATAAAGTTTGGCACTACATCCAATTTTGAAAGAGCTAAAAAAAATGTAGTGAAAATCTTCACTTTCTGAAAATTATTGAGTTCTATCAGTGGGTAGTGAACATTATAATGTAAACTACCCACAGAGAAGTGCATGTTGTAGTTGATATGAGATCTTATTCAAGCTCGAATGCCAGCTTCCACAAGCCAGCCAAAACAAGCAAAAAATAATTAAAATGAAATTTAGCATATACAAATAAAATATTAGATTTCTTTTCTTATAGAAAAACTTTTAGATAAAAAGAAATTAGATAAAAAAAAATATTTAAAACCTTTGATTTGGGCGAATTCCTTTCCCTTTTGTTCTCTTAACTCCTCCATGCTTGCATAAATATGTTACATTTCTAAATTTAAACTTCTCATCAAAATGTTTTGAATTCTGACTCAAACCCTTATTAGCCAATGTAACAGTTTTGCTGTTACATTTAGTCCACAAAATGTTTGTAAATGCCGACCAAGAAGCCAATTTGTTTTCAAACTCAGCAAAGTTATCAAACTCATCTCCTTGTTTAATTTCAATATTCATGACTAATTTCATAAGATAAAACTAAAAATATAATTTAGGTTTATTATGCAATCATATTTAAAGCAAAAATAAATTAAATAAATCAGTTTATTCCAAACAAACTTCCTGATTGAATTCTACCTTTTTGAATAGCACATGCGTATTTTATTTATAGTTTATATATAACCGTGGTCGTGCGAATAAGCTTTATTTCGTTATTTGCACGACGGTCGTGCGAATAAGCTTATTTTCGTTATTTGCACGACGGTCGTGCGAATAAGCTTATTTTCGTTATTTGCACGACGGTCGTGCGAATAACTTTATTTTTGTTATTTGCACGACGGTCGTGCGAATAGACACTTCGCTTGTTTGATGCTTTTTTATACGCCGTGGATAGAGTACCGAAAGTCGGTACTATAAGAAAATTTTCTTATAGTACCGGAAGCGCGTCTATTGGTTGCAAAAGTCACGTGTAAAAACAAATTCCGATTTTCAAAGATTTGAATTGGAAAATATAATTTTATATTGTAAAATGTCAACTGGTTTTACCATAGTCATAATATCAGATAGTCCGGCCAGTTGGGCCGTTTTCGCAAGATTCTATTGTTTTTAAACAATAAAATTTAAAACTTTGAATTTATGTTGAAAATCGTTTAATTATCGTGCTCAGACTACCAATAAGTACACAAAAATCTAAAAAATGGCGAACTCAACAGATAAACAGTGCTTCGATTACTTTATATTAGATCTAGAATCAGATATATTTTTTTGTAAACTCAAGTTTATCAATGATTTCAGTTCTTTTCTCGTTAAAATTGGAAGTAAAAACGTTTTAACCAAATTTACTTTCACCAGTGTAAGATTAAATGTAAGTCGGAGCATAAATTCAAACGCTTCATAACAAAGCAGCATTCAAAGAGTTTCTCTTTAATACAGCAAATAAATGCATAAACCGATGTTAAGCAAACGTGTTCTACAAATAAGTTCATGAATTTTGTTCAAAAAAACAATCTTATTGTTACAAACAATCATTGTTGCAACGTGTTCTGCAAAGAGATTCATCAGTTTTGTTTTAAAAAACATTCTTATTGTTATAAACGATCTTTGCTGCCTTTCATATATCAGGGATGAGCTTTCAAAGTACATATTTTTAAAAGATAATACAAAGCTATCATTCAAGTTAATAAAAAGAAGTTATAAAAATTACTTATAGTGCAGTTGAAGATTTTTTATCCAAAATTTATAGTTTTTATTTTGATTTGACCGAGATGTTTAAAGAAGTGACTATTAATTTTCTAGACCATCTTTTACCACTTTGTTTTTGTGTTCGCTCATCCTATTCAAAAGAGCTATAAACTTGCATAAAAAAGGAGCTATAAACTTGCATAAAATCAATTCTATATTAAATAGAACAAATTTGTTTGGAAAAAAAAAAATCTAAAAAGGGTTTTTAAACTCCATTAAATAAATATTAGACATTCAATAGAGGTTATTTTGATAACCAAAAAATTTGTTAAAAACATTCTAGCATTTGAACTGTATTGCAGTATGATTAAAAAATGCAATAATAAAGTGAAAATCAAATAAAGTTGTGTAATTTTTTACTTTAAATAATAATATCATATAATGTAATGAATAAAGCAATTGGTTTAACTACTTAAGCAGTTTAATAATTTTCTCAGGATTTTATTTATAAAATTTTGAAATAATATTAAGACTTTTTTGCAACACTTATCCTTTACTCAAATTCAACCTAATAGGTCACTTTTTAGCCTCTATGGATATTTTTAAAGATTGGCAATGCAGCTTTTGATATCCCAATTACCAATAACCTCAAGTTTTTCTTAAAGTCCTCTTTATATGCACAGTGTATGATATAACCGCAACAATAAATACATTTCTTTATTTAAAATAGCATTCGAAACTCTTTTCACAAATAATAATGACAAATGTATATGTATTTACATTTGTCATATATATATACATATCTATATATATATCTATATATCTATATATATATATATATATATATATATATATATATATATATATATATATATATATATATATATATATATATATATATATATATATATATATATATATACACATATATATATATGTTATATATATATATATATATATATATATATATATATATATATATACATATATATATATATAATATATATATATAATATATATATATATAATATATATATATATATATATATATATACATATTTATAAATATATATGTATATATATAAGCCTATATATATTTATATGTATTTATATATACATACATATATATACATATGTATATAAATATATATATATATATATATATATATATATATATATATATATATATATATATATATATATATATATATATATATATATATATAAGCTTTGCATAAACCATCAAATCTTGTGATATTCTTGTATTGAAGATAAAAATTTTTTATCTTTTAATTTATACCAAATAATGTTTTTATAAGATTTTAGCTATTAAAATAGCCACAAAATAGCTTTGATACTTTTTAAAAATGAAATAAGGTTAGGCACAACTGTAATAAACATTGATCTTTTTTAATGTAAATATTTAAATATTGACTTTCATCTGCTTCAGAAGAAAAAGTTGGTTTCTTTAAGTTGAGCTTTAGTAGTATGAGAAACTACTATATTCTGCCTAAAGAAGGATTTGCCAATGAAAAGCTCTTAACTGGTTGATTTATTGAAGGTAGTAAATCTGTCGATCAAAAAAAAGTTATCTGATATCATATTTTATCTTTAGTTTTAATATATTATAACTAAAGATTTATTTTTATTTATAATTTGTAAAACTTTTCTTCTTGATTGCTTGTTATAAACATCATCATCGGAAGAAAATATTTCCAATAGAAAAACATTTATACTTCTTCGAAAAGTTCCAGAACCAAATATGTAACAATTAAGACAAGGCATTTGCAAAAATCAAGGATAAATCAATAATCTTCTTGTAAGTATTCGCATTTGTTTACAAAAAGTGTGCACTCATTGGTAGACTGGGTTCTAAAAAAAAGCTAACAATAAGATAAACAATAGCGCTCTTAAACTGGCCGGACTATGTATATTATGACTATGGTTTTACTTGCAAAGATGTTTTCTTGTCTTTTGAAGATCTAAAAGCAAATATTAAAAAATATGAAGATGCTAATTTTGTGCAATTATGGATGAGAGACGCCAAGACAATTAATGCTGCTAGAAAAAGCATTCCAAAGAGAGCTAGTATTATGGCTCCACAAGTTAAATACTCTTTTATAAAGTACTGCTGCATTCATGGTGGACAAAAATTTAAATATAAAGGTTTTGGAAAACGTCAAACTTCGTTAGTACTTTATTTTACTTTTTTAAAAGATTGTATTATTATTCTCAGACAGTAACTGTTATAACTGTTTGTTCTATTTCAATCAATGAATAATTTATATTTCTGAATAAAGATCTTGCCTTCAAGTTACAAATAGTTATAAACTTATATGAATTAAACCCCTTATAATGCTAATAATATATAATAAGGATAATAATAATGGTAATGTAAGCAATATATCCAAAAACATAGCTTTTAAAATTCTAATAAACAACAATGATAACAATAACAACAACAGTAATAAAAATAATATTATAAACAAAACTAATTCTAGTGTTAGTGTATAATTCAAGTAAGACAGTAAAAATGAAAATCTGAAAGTTACAGAAAAGCAGTAATAAAAATAATATTAATCACTATAAGTGGTTAGACTTCCCCAGGTTTAAACATTTTCTTTCTTTTTTATGGTTTCTTTTTTTCTTTATGTTTTTTTTTACTTTAAATTAAAATGTTTGTTTTAAGTCTTTCTTAGATTGAGTATGGATTATTATAGATGACTTAAGAAACTAAGGCGTGTAAGATATTGCTACAAAAGTTGCGATTTCTATCTCCTCCACTGGTAAAAGTTTCATTTTTTCCCAAATAGAAAGAACTTAGTTCCCGTAACCTTAGCTAGTGTTCATATCTTTAGAAAAGTTTTCAGGGTAATGGCATTTCCTATGTATTCTTTAGCTTCTTGTGCAATCTGATGCATGTAAGAATTGTTTTTCAAAATGTTAAAAATAAATTAATCTTAATAATTAATAAGAATATTAAGAGTTAAACCTGAAAAATAGAAAAATAGTGTTCAAATAAATCCAAAATAAATATAATGTTAGATATTATAACAGTTTAGTGAGATACTCAAGGAATTATAAAGTATACTTAAATAAAAACAATTGTAAAACATTAAAACAATATACACAAAGTTATAGATTTAATAATATTTTATTATAAATAATATAATTTGTACTGTAACAGTTCAAAAATAAACAAAAAAGAAAAAAAAAACTTGTTTATGTAGGTTATTAATAAAAGCACACTGCAGATATATTGAACTTTTAGTAACTCAAAGTGTTTTAACATTCCTGTTGAACTCTCACTCACACTTTCTCATAAAAATCACTATGTTGATAACTCAAACCCCTTGATAACTTGAAAATTCCCAAAGTCAAACCTTTTTTTTTTGTCCCTGTGGCTGATAATATCCCAATAAGTTGAACTTTAGAAGAAAAATATTAACAAAATCTTATTAAAAATAAATATTCTTTTATTACATTAAACTTTTTTGATTTCCTTAATATCAATCAAAAAAGATATTACTTCAAAACTGAGACATAAGGAGATTTTATATTTTATGATCTATTTTGTTTTCATTTATATTTTTTTATTTCTACTTTTTTTTATTTTTTATTCACATATTATTTTTATTTTATCTATGAATGCATCCAAGTTTGCTTGCTAAGTAGTGCATAGTTAATTTTAGATTGCTTTTGATTAACTGCTATAAATGCTTCATATCTATTGCTCTTTCCAATCTGGTCAATGTTGCAATTCTAAGTTGCTGTTATAAAAGCATTGAAACTTTTTGCTGTTGTATTACTGAAACTTTTAAAGCAAACAGTTTGTTAACATGTCAATTTTTACAATTTAGAAAAGTTGCAATGAAGATTTCATTTACCATTTCAGATTGAATTAAAAAAAAACTTTTGTTAACTTGAATTATTTTTACTTATCTGTAAAAGTTTGAATTGTGAAATATCCTGATAACTAGAACATTTGCAAACTTGAACTAATTTCTTGGCTTTCCTGAAGGTTTGAGTTATTTGCAGTTTACTGGATTTATTTTATAATAAATAATTTATTTTATTTAGAAATACAAATATAATTTGTTACATAGAACTTTTTATTAGTAATACAAATACTTTTTTTTTGCTTATTTAATTTATGAAATAAGCATCTAGTTAATACATTTTTTTTGTAGGACATATAAAAAAGATTGCCCTTTCTACCTACACTTTAAGGCATCGGATGATGGACAAGCATTAATCTTGCAAGAATTTAACAATACACATGATCACGAAGTATCTGAAGTAAACTATTATTATTTATACTTAAAATATGTTTTATAAATAGCATTATTTTACAATTTTTTATATAGACAGGAAAAAGTAATGAAATCCATAACACTTTTTTTTTTTTTTTTTTTGGGATTTCATTATTTTATATTATGATAAAATTATAATTGTCAAATCGGGTTATTAATATAATTTGATAGTTATATAGTAAAATTATAATTGTCAAAGTGGGCTATTAATATAATTTGATAATTATATATATATATATATATATATATATATATATATATATATATATATATATATATATATATATATATATATATATATATATATATATATATATATATATATATATATATATATATATATATATATATATATATATATATGTATATATATATATATATATATATATATATATATATATATATATATATATATATATATATATATATATATATATATATATATATATATATATATATATATATATATATACTTCAAAATGTATTTGATTTGCTGCTATGAAGAGCTCTAAATTGTTTTCAAATAAATTCTTTTTAATTCATAATCAAATTAAAAAATCTTATTAAAAAATCAAATTAAAAATTTGTTATTGGGAGTTTTTATGAACTTTTTGATTTGAATTGATTTGTGGGTGTGATTGAATTATAGATTCTGGCTATACAAGCTTATATATTCTTCGGTTTTTTGTAACTAAGTATGATGTTTTTGAATTTTTGCTAATTTATAAGTAAATTCTGTGAGTTCCCGATATCTTGACCCCTGGATAATTTGAACTTTCAGTAACTTGTATTACTTTTGAGTTCCCCTCGAACCCTCACTAGCAATCAAAAAAACTGTAAATAGCTTGTTAGAATATATTTTTAAAGTTTAAATAGCCTTTACAAATTGCAAAATATGTCATAAACTGTTTTTGTGCATAAATCAAATCAAATATATTCTGAAATTAGTTGATAACATTTCAAGAATATTTACAATAGTACAAGTACTAATATAAAGTAAATTCCTAACAAATACAATATTAACATAAACATAGCTAAAAATATTTAACAAATACAACACATCAATTTAAACAACTATGAAGATAATAGTAGTAATAATAATATGATGTTTAATATAGTATAAATAATACTAATAATTGAAGTAAAAATAAATATCAAATCAAAATAGTGAAGCTAAAATATTTATCAATAATAAGTCTAATGGTAGTTAAGTAGTTAAATATGTCTTCAGATAATATTACTATCACCTAAAAACATAATAATAACAAAATAATAATGATAGCGAGTGTTAGTAAATAAAAGGAGAATAATATTAGTTAGAAAAAAAAAAAAAAAAAACAAGTACCCAGAAGTATTAAATCAAAATTTAAGCAGCATTGATTTTATATTAAAATAAGCAGAAGTATGCAAAGTTATAGATGTAATAGATAACAAGCTGCAAAGGATAGTTAACTTAAGGAAAATACTTATCTAACAAAATATTATATAAAAATTAAAAAGGCGTTTATTCAAAACTAAGACAGAATGACAGACAATTTTATAATTTATAATGTATTATTTTTCCTTTGAGATAAAAACTTTTGGTAACTTAAATTTTTTTACCTATTGACAAAGGTTTGTGTTAAAGAATGTCTCCATAATTCAAACATTCACTAACTCAAACTATTTTTCTTGGTTCCTTGGAGGTTTGAGATATCAAGAATTCACTGTATCATTAATTTTTTATGAAATATTATCTCCTGCAAATACCAACTTCTACGCATCACAACCTATTTTAATGTATTATAAAAAATAATTAATGTTTTTTCATAATATATTTTCTATAAACACTTACCTAATCAAAGAAGACTACCTGATTATGCTATTGCTAAAGCAGAAACCTTGTTAGGTTTGAAAGCTAACAAAAAATTACTTCAACGAGAATTGTTAAATGAGACTGGGAAAATGATAACGCTCCGAGATTTATCAAATATTGCTGCTTCTGCACACAAAAGTGACACCCGAAATGATTTAACAGCCTTTATTACAACTTTAAAGGAAAAATATAGTAAGAAAGTTATCAAGTTATTTTGTCTTCTGTAAAGTAAAGTATTAATTTAACTTTTTATAATTCAATTTCGATTACTCTTTTTTTTTTTAAATGTTAAAAATAAATATTTCTTAAATATAAGTTCATAATTTATTTATTGTAATTACTTTTTAATGAATTTTGAAAAAATTCAGTGCCCTTAAAAAGATAGTGCCCATAAAAATAGTGCCCTTAAAAAGATAGTGCCCATAAAAAGACAAAATAATTATATTGCTGATAACTATTGTTAATCAAAACTAAAAAAAATTTGGATATTCCAAAATGTGAACCATCCATATAACCTTTAGAAAAAAGTTAGGTTATAGTGCAGAAGTTCAAAAGTTGTTCTTATGTTGTCTCAGAAGATAATTTTTTATATATAGGGTCCTTATTAGGAAAGCTGCGAATAGGGTCCTTATCAGAAAAGTAATTACTTTTTAATAGTTCGATACAAACAGTTTTGACTGCTTAAAAAGTGCTTTGAAAACGGTAGTATTTTTGTCTTTTTAAGGGCACTGTTTATTTTAAACTTTTTTTTTTTTTTTTCAAAAATAAAAACTTCAAAATAACAAGCAAAACTCTGTTTTTAACACTGCTATTCTATCAGCCTAACGTAATTTATTGAGAATCTTTAATACTGTCTTTTTCATCGTCAGACTTTCTAAATAACTTCTAAAATACGGCAGTTATTTTTTTTGTTGTAAATTTAGGTAAAATTGTACCAATTTCATAACAATTTGACACATAGGGCATTGTTTAAGTTTTCAGCTTTGCAAATGCTTCTGTCTGAAACGCATTTTTCTTTGCATCTATACAACAACTTTGTTTCTTCTCTCCTTCTCTTCTTCTCAACTTTTTTCTTTCTTTGTATTCTTTCTCCTGTGGTTTTTTCTCCTTTAAGTTGTTAATAGACTCTACAAGCTTTAGCACATCTGATCTTCCATGGAGCCATAGACTTGGGTTACTCTTGTAGTTGCTTTTTGCATATTATTACTTTTTGCTGACTTAAGTTTAATGGTTTTTTCAACTAAGCTCCTAAACATTGTTTGTAGTGACAAACATTTTTCTTTCCAGTTTGAAGCTTTTTTTTTTCAATATATTTGGCTATTTTTTTGTTTTATAGGTATAACGAAACTTATTTTGCCATTTACAACTGATGAAATATCAGTAACATTAAATAAAGCATCTGATAAACACACTGTTGTATGTTGTTAAGGTTTTTTTTTCATATTTTATTATTTAAAACTTGCTCTAATACCATTGTACCTTTTTGGAATTTATCTATTTGCATAAATGCAATGTTGAGGCTTTCACTATTAATAATGATCTTTATTCCAGCTTTTCGTATTGACTCTGATGTGGCTCACTTCTCCCACATACTTGCAAAAGATAACATAAAAGCCTCTATTAATTGTTTGATTTTGACTAAACAAATTTTCTTTTGTATTTTCATTATTTTTATGAAGCCTTTTGTTGATTTGATCAAGAAGTTGCGTTACCCAGTAGTGTCTGGAGGTGATATATACAAATGTATTTTTTTCTCTCTAGGAAATTGAAGTATGGTATAATGAAAACAAGAACTGTGACAATCTCTCAGTAAAACAGGGCAAAGTATGTCTTTTGCAATAACATGCTTATCAAATAATTTATAAAATGTAAGTATGGATTTGTGATCTTGTGATCCATTCTCTGTCATCGAAATCAATAAGTTTGAAATACTTCGAACAGTATCTTGTGGAGCCATTTGACTAGTATTTCCTTAAGTACCAAATATTCCATGGCAGGTGCATTTTTCATCTAAGTAATAGATTAAGCAGTGAAAATTTGTCTGAAATTTCAAAATATAAATTACATTTCTTGTCTTAAAATATATCTATTTTTAAATTTTTCATTTTTTTACTTTTGTTATTGACATATTTGTTATTGCCTAAATTAGAGCAGGCCATTTCACAGGTACAATCAGTATTATTATACAGTATTATATAAACAATTTACACGATAGAGCACTGTATTTATTTTTGATGTTCTTTTTTCTGTAAATTTGTTTTAAACTGACATGGACACAGAAACTTACAGTTTCTATATTGAATAATACAATAGAAAATTTTAACCTTTTCTTCAAACAAGTTTTCCAAAGCAATAAACTTTCTTCTTCCTTTTATCTTTTTGTTAGCATGATCTTGAATTTTTTACACATCCATAATAAGGTTTTTTAGTTTTTTTCTGTTCATACCTTAGTTATTTCAATTTTTACATCGCACATACTCAACCTTAATATCTTCTTCTTCAGTGGTTAGTATCGTTACGTGTTTTATTTCATTTCCTGTAAAACTAGGTTATCTAATTGCTTATCAATCACAATTTTGTTTTATATTAACGTAAACTGACCTGCAGAATTTCCTTGTTTTCCATTAGTTTCGCACCATTACACAGCCTTGTTTAACTGTTTGTTTCTTTTATCTCGGATAAATTGCTTTTACAGTTGCTTCAGATTTATTCCTTGACTTTTTAAATACAGAGTTTGCATTTGCAGCTACACTTAAGCTATATTGTTGTTTCATTTTTTTTTTTTTTTTTTTGTAATTAAAACATTTTAAACTATTACAACAGTACAAATAAAGTAATGTAAAAACACAAAACAGCAATTTTATTATTTTTAAGTCTTTTTTTGAAGTTGCAAAACAAGAAGTAGGTGTTAAAAGAAATTGAACTGTTATATGAGTTACTACTATCTTTCAAAATAAACTTTAAGATATAAAGGAAAGAAAAAAATACAATATTAATAAAATAGTTTTAGAAAAAGAGTTTCTTAATGCTCATTACAAAAAGCGTTATTTGGGTTATTTCATGACTTTTCTAATTATTTCAAAAAATCATTAAATAATTCCAGATTTCTTTCTATTATAAGATACCTATACTAGGCAGATAATACTATGCAAAATATCTCCCCAATTGAGTTAATCTTTAAGGAGACATCAACAATAATAAGATTGTCTTTTTAAGGGCACCTTGCCTAAAATAGACAAATTTCAAATACAAATAAAAATATTAAAAATTTAATTACTGTTTTCAACCGCTAGGAAGGAATTATATGGCTTTAAACAAAATTAAAAAAAATGAATTAAAAAAAAATAGGCTTTCCCAAACATTTTAAGCCATTTTAAATTTGTTGTCTTTTTTAAGGGCAATATATCTGTAAAATTAAAAAAAAGTTATTTTTTTTAAGTTTACCTGTCTGACACTTTTCCGAGTCTCAAACAGGTAGTACAGTGAAGAAAAGGATGTTTGTTTTAGGTAGTGTTCTAGGTAATATTTTGAAGAATATTGGTGAGAATGAGAAGTCGATAATATGTTGAGACTTAAATTGGTATGTTGGTGTGGCTTCAGATGGTTTTGAGGCATGGTGGAAAAGGATTTAGCATCAGAAATGCTGAAGGAGAGATGTTGTTGGAATTTTCTGATACTACGGGATTGACAGTCTGTAATATATGGTTTACGAAAAAGGATTAACAAAAAATAATTTATGAGTCTAATGGTTTGGAGACACAAGTGGAATAAATCTTAATCAGAAAGCAACATGGAAAATAGGCAAGCAACATAAGAATAATACCAAGTGAGGCTTGTATTCCAGAGCACAAATAAATTATTTGTGACATGTTGGTGGAAAATTTGAAGAAAAGAGATCTTTGTGATTGAAGAATTTGGAAATTTAAAGAAGATGAAATGTGTAAACATTTTGAAAAGAAAATTAAAGCAAGAAAGCAAATCAGATCAAAAAGAAATGTGGAAAGTATGTGGAAAAACATGAAGAAATGCCTTGTTGATGTATCTGATGAAGTATGTGGAAAAAGTGGTGGAATGAAAAAGTGGCTAAAGTTAGATAAGAAAAGAGGATATTTCATAACATCCGGAAAAAGTCTGGAAATGAAGATGATAGGCTACTGTATTCTGTGGCAGAGCGCAAGTCAAAAAAAGCCATATACAAAGCTAAATTAGATGAGGAAAAATAATTAAGTAAGATGCTAATATGTTAATTTGCTAGACCAGGTTATGATGATTTTAGAAAAAATTATTGAAAGCAAAATAATGAGCAGTGTATTAATCAATAACATTCAGTTGGTTTGAGGCCAGGAAAAGGAATGACAGATGTCGTTTTTATTGTAAGGCCAGTTTAAAAAAGATTTTTGGAAAGGAAAAAAGATCTGTGGATGGCATTTATTGACCTAGCTTTTGACAGAGTTCTAATTGAGGTGGTGTGGTGGGTTTTAAGGTGTTTAGGTATTGAAGAATGGCTAGTAACTTTCTAGTGTTATGATGTATGGCAGTGAAACATGGGCAATAAAGGTTGATGATGTTCAGCGTTTAGAAAAGACAGATGATTATGATTAGATGGATGTGTAGTGTGATTCTAAAATAAAATTCAGTATGATGATTAGATGGATGTGTAGTGTGATTCTAAAAGACCAGAAAAGCAGTGATGATCTAAAAAAAAGAAAATTATTAAAATATTTCTCATTCCTCTATGTATTCATACATATATATTTAATTTATTTGTATAATTATAATTTATTTTCTTATCAGTATATAATATAAAATGTATTTTAGATGCTAATGTTGAAGTTTTGACAGATGCAGACAATAATTTGCAAGGGCTTTTTTTTCAAGATTTTTTTATGCATGGTGCCTACAACGCATATCCTGAGTTTTTATGCATGGATGCGACATATAAATTGTTAGAAATTCGACTGCCTGTTTATATTCTGCTATGCGAAGATGGAGCTGGTTGGTTTCAATTATTTATTAATCAAAGTTTTGATGTATATAATTAGTTAATAACCGTGAACATCATATTTAGTTATGCCTAATTTACATTCACTTTTTTGTATAGGTGAAAGTGAAATAGCTGCTGTAGGTTTGCTCACGCATGAAGATGCTGCGTCTCTTAGGTATAGTTTCTTTGCTGTGACTGGCTTTGATGTATATGCATAATAACAGGTAAAACAAATATTAAAGTAATCATACTGACATTTTATATTCTTAAATGGCATTTGAAAAATGTATATGTTACATTTATAAACTGCCACAATAACGACTAGTCAGAATAATATTTTGAAGTTGTTAAAAGACCACCTTATCTGAAGTTGTTAAAAGATCATCTTATCTTATTATGTTTTTTTTCCACTTTGAGCACTGTATATATATATATATATATATATATATATATATATATATATATATATATATATATATATATATATATATATATATATATATATATATATATATATATATATCTGTGTGTGTATGTATTTCTCTCTTTATGATTTTTTTATTATTTGTTTTAAAGTTGGTTTGTTGAAAGATTTAAGAGTTTCAATATTGCTTGGCCAAAGACAAATGTCTTCATGACAGACAAAGACTTAACAGAAAGAGAGATTTTACGTAGTGCTTTTCCTGGGGTTTCTCTATTACTCTGCTTATTTCACACCATGAGGTAATTTTTAATTACCCAGAAGTGACTAGCACTAGATTAATGGATAATGAATCCTTCTGATTTTTAACATGATTGTTAATTTTTATCTGTAAATATGGATTATATAAAATCTTATAAACTTTCTTTTTTAATTGTTTTGTTAAGCCAACATCACACTTTTGTTTACAGAACTTTCAATCGTGAGATTACAACTTCCAAACTTAAGATAACAAGCGGTGAACGGACTTCATCTTTAGAACTTATTCAGAAATTGGCTTACGCTACATCAGAAGAAGTTTATGATGAACTATATAGATTATTTATTTCATCTTCTCCAACTACTGTTGTAGATTATTTTAACAAGAACTGGCATGATATTCGTGTTGATTGGGTTCTTGGTTTAAATTTTGCTAGTGGAAATTTCATGAACAGCACCAACAACCGCCTTGAAAATTTCAATGGCAAATTAAAAGAAGTGATTGACTGCAACAGTTCCTTAGAAAATTTCCTGGATAAATTTTATGTTGTTCTAGCATCAATGCGTAACGAGAGAGATCATAAGACTATTTTTCAAATGCAAAAAGTTCTAGTTGACATGTTTGATCCCAACTCAGCTGAGGCAGCATATAAGAAAGTTCTGACATTGTATGCAGCTCAACATGTTTTAAAGCAAATGAGCTTGCGTGGAGACATTAATTTGTTACAAAGAGAAAATGAATACTTTATGGTAAACACCACTGAAGGTCTGCATACAGTGACTTGGAATTTTTGTTCATGTATGTTTAGAAAGTCAATGCACTTACCTTGTAGACATATTTTTGCTGCTCGCCAATTCCTTAGAATAAATTTATTTGATATTGACTTATGTGCTGAACGCTGGACATTAAAGTACTATCGGCAGCATCAACGAGCTTTTAATAGTCCTATAATGGCTGATGAGTTGAGATCTGTAGAGTTTCATGTAGCTCCAAAAAAAAAACTCCTTTCTCAGCATGAGAAGTTTAAACTAACTCTACAGGAAACATCATTTCTTGCTACCCTTGTTTCTGAATCCACTGGACAGACTTTTGAACAACGTCTCAGTCTTTTACAAGCTCTAAAAAAAGGTTGGACTGATGGAAAGGTCATGTTAGTTAATGAACTTATTGATGTGGACATTTGTTCATCAAAAACAGAAAGTACATTACCTAGTGCATTTACTATAGTTACAGAATCTCCAATAAATTCATTGGGATGTGTATCTGGAGTTAATGGTGTAAACACTTCAGTAGCACCGTTAGTAGTCAGTAATAAAAATGTTTTAAGCACTAAAAAAAATGTTTCACAATTAACTACAGAGTATGCAATTGATAACGACAGCATTTTATTAGAGGAAGCTATTATTTCTGAAAAAACTTAACATGAAGAGTTAACATCTGTGAAGAATTATGCAGGTGCAAGTTTAAATTATTTCTCCTATTAAATATATCTTTATTAAAATACAAATAAATCAACAAATTTAATATTTTCACACTTTAAAAACCATAAATTTCTTGTAGAGTCTCACCTGAACAGGATTCGGGTGCCGAAACATGTTTCTCGATGTGGACGACCTAAAGGTTCTACTCTGACCACTATTGGTTTGCCAAAAAAGCGACAACCTAATTTGTATGAAAAAAGAGTACCTTTTTTTGAAATTACATCCATCAAAAAGACATGCTAGTATGTATAAAAGATGCAGATGTTTTTTTTTATTAGTATTTCTATAATATAATGTACTTGTTAATTAATCATTTTTAACTAACCAAATATTAAAACTTTGTATTTAGTGATGCTGGGTTGGTTTTTAAAACCAGATGATGTCCATAAAGCTCTTTCTGGAATTCTCATTGAAAGTAATTGTATTGAAAAAAGAGTCAATCATATCTCATCTGCTATTCTTGATGAAAGTGCTGGAGGAGCTCTTTTGTCGCTACAAGGGTATTTTACCCCAGATGGATGGAAAGTACTCCATGAACTAATTGATACCAAATCTCGTCAAAAAGTTTGGCCTTGTGCTGTGTGCCAAAAAAGCACTTGCTTGGGTAATGACATTGGGGACTCAGTAGGATGTGATTCATGCCTTTTGTGGTTTCACAAAAAATGTGTTGGTCAGAAAGAAGGAAATCTTCTAAAATCAAAATACTGGTTTTGTCATTCTTGTTAGAATATTTTTTTATTAATGAAATATAGTTATACTTGACTATATTATATTTGGTATCAAGTGCTTAACTCGTATGTTATAAACATCATCAGATGTTTTATTTTACTATTATATTTTAAGTCTAATGGATTTTTTACACCTTGATAGTTACAAATTGTGTATTGAGAGCCCTCAGGTTGTATGTTAATTTACAGGTTTTTCAGGTCAACTGCTTCCTTCATTTATTCCTTAATCTTAAACTCAACTAAATTTTTGTAATCTAAATATAAATAGACCGCTTAAGATTTAACACCAGCGCGAAAACAAAATACAGAAAAAGTAAAGCTAGTATAACTAGAATTATTGGAATCACTAGAATTTTTAGAGCTTTAGATAGTTTAGAGTTTTTTAACAACAAAAAATTTTCACTGAAATTTTTGAGCTTTATATAGTTTAGAGTTTTTTAACAACAATTTTCACTGAAATTTTTAGACCTTTATAAAGTTTAGAGTTTTTTAACAACAAACAATTTTCACTGAAATTTTTAGAGCTTTGTATAGTTAAGAGTTTTTTAATAACAAACAATTTTCACTGATTTTTTTAGAGCTTTATATAGTTTTGATTTTTTAAGAACAAATAATTCTCATTAAAATTTTTAGAGTTTTAAATAGTTTAGAGTTTTTAACAATAAATGATTTTCACTCAAATTTTTAAAGCTTCAGAATTTTAACAACAAATAATTATCACTAAAATTTTTAGGCCTTTATATAGTTTAGAGTTTTTTAAAACAAATAATTTTCACTCTTAGAGCTTTATATAGTTTAGAGTTTTTAACAACAAATAATTGTCACTATAATTTTTAGGCCTTTATATAGTTTAGAGTTTTTTAAACCAAATAATTTTCACTCTTAGAGCTTAATATAGTCTAGAGTTTTTAACAAGAAATAATTTTCACTGAAATTTTTAGACCTTTATATAGTTTAGAGTTTTTTAACAACAAACAATTTCACTGACATTTTTAGAGCTTTGTATAGTTTAGAGTTTTTTAGTAACAAACAATTTTCACTGAAATTTTTAGAGCTTTTTATAGTTTAGAGTTTTTAAGAACAAATAATTCTCATTAAAATTTTTAGAGTTTTAAATAGTTTAGAGTTTTTAACAACAAATAATTTTCACTGAAATTTTTAAAGATAGTTTTTAACAAAGTAGCTTCAGATAGTTTTTAACAACAAATAATTTTAACTAAAATTTTTAGGCCTTTATATAGTTTAGAGTTTTTAGCAACAAATAATTTTCACTCTTAGAGCTTTATATAGTTTAGAGTTTTTAACAACAAATAATTTTCACTGAAATTTTTAGAGCTTCAGATAGTTTTTAACGACAAATAATTTGCACAGAATTTTTTAGAGTTTCGGTAGTTTAATTTTTTTAACAACAAATAGATTTTACTGAAATTTTTAGAGGTTTAGATAATTTAGAGTTTTTAACAAAAATAATTTACACTGAAATTTTTAGAGCTTTAGATAAAAACAAATAATTTAACTGGAGCTATAAAATTTTTAAATAGTTCAGAGTTTTTTCTTTTCTTTTTTAGCCGAAAATAATTTTAACTAGAATTTTTAGAGCTTCAGATTTTTTAGATTTTAGATTTAGATTTAGAGTTTCATGTTTTATTTTCCAAAGTTCATGAGTAAGTAAAACAAGTGAAACTTTCAAAGTAAAATAGTTGTCATTTTATTCTTAAATGTTATTTAAAGATAGGTAAATAATTTATTTTATGGTTAACAACTTCCATAAAAAAAATTTATATATAATTTTAGAATTTTTTGAACTTAACATTTTTTTAATCCGAAGTTTAAATTTGTTATAGTATTATTATTTTGTTACAAGTAAAAACAAGTATATTTTATTATATTCTTTTTTTCCTTTTTCTCTAGTTCTTCTGATTCCAGTTTGAGTTGGCTTTCTGTTGAAACATGGTTTAATTTAGTAAATTTTCATTACTTGAAATTTACTAAGTTAATCATAAGCTAACAGTTACAGAAAATTTGAACTAAACAATATTAAGGTAAGAAGTTTACTGGTAATATTACAAAGTATATTCTTACTGGTAATTTTGTTAATTCTCTTTAGTATAATGAGAATGTTTTTTTTTATGACACCACTCAAAATAAAATTTGCCTATTTTTACACAATTATTTGAATGTAGCCAGTGTCATCTCCAGGCTGATTTTGATACCAGTATCTGGCATTTAAATGTTTCATCTAAACTCCAGTTTGTATTAGTTAATAATAAATATATTTATAAACTAAAATCATTACAAACAGTGACTGTTCTTGAATGTTTTCAGAAGCATTCATCGTATTTTATTGTTTCAAGAAGTTATTTTGGAACCAGTGATCCCAAATAACTTCTGGATAACATCACTGGTAATAGACACAAGTAAGAGGTCTTCCATAAAATACACACACCTAAAATTTAGATCCTCCTTCCCTAATTAGTATGCATCTCACTGAGTCTGTAATTTGCTCAATGCTTGAACTAATATTTAGCCCTGTGGTAACCTGTTCTAATAGTCATCAAAATGAAGTATGAAATGATTCATAATTGAAATGCACTCAAAATCTCCTACATAATTAAACTACTTTTTATTTATATATTTAAACTAAAGTGTTTTGGAACAGTTCTATATAAGTACCCAATGTATATGTACATTATACATTTATGTACTATATACATTATTGTGTTGTTAATGAACATAATACCTAATAAAATTCTACAATTATTTATTGAAAATTTTAGTGGTTACTACAACATATAAGTATACATCAACCTCCCATATTTTTTAACAGCCTGTTACTTTATTATTATAGCATGTTACTTTATTTTTAGTTGTTCCATCAATTTTTTACTAATTTTAAAATAATTATAAATTAAAAGCAGCATTGGGGCAGTAGAGTAGCAATAGACACACAGTATCTATTAAAAATGATAACAATTAGAATTGCTGCTTTACAATTAGGTCCTGTTCTCAGGTAGTATTTTAATTTAAGGTTCCAATTTAAACAATTATGGTAAACTGGAATCAAAACTCACTTTGATCCAGCCAGGTATCGAACCCAGGTGGGTAACCTCGAAGCCCCAATGACATACTGCTAGACTAGCAATAATATCTTTTATAAGCTAAAATTCTCTTGGTTTTTTGTTCATAAACTAGAAAGGCATCAAACCTATCCAACTTATTTAACGAAATGCACCACGAGAAGGTAAACTATAGGACTTTGCATTCCATAATATAATTTAAAAATTTTTCCAGATTTATAACTTTTGATAGCTATAATTATTATGTATATTTTTTATTGCATTCTATCTATTTATTATTTTTAATAACATTTTTAGCATTTGATTTAATTATTAACATTTGATTTAAGAGAGTCACTAATTTATATAAATACATAAAAACCAATTATGTGGAATATATTATGTAAGAATTTGTTACTTTTTCAAATTAAATATTAAAAAATTATAATTTTACGTAAATCTTGAAATTTTTTAATCTTTCAAACTCTGTACCCCCAGGTTCGCAATAGCGTCATAACCATAACCATGTAATGGGAAAACATTGAACCTACACTGTTGGCTAATGATTAATAAAGTAAATTTCAATTCATAAAAATTTACTAAATTGAAACCATATTTCAACAGTAGTCAAATTAAACATAAAAAATGAAGTAGAGCAGAAACTCATGAATGAACTAAAAAAGAAAAAAATAATTTAATAAAGAAACAATTTCCAAATTGCACAAAACAAATAATTCTTTTAAGAAAAATATAAAAAAATCAATACTAGTTTTTGTAGAACATAAAAAATAGCAAACATAGAACTTAAAAACATATATACATAACAAAATATTGATATGCGTAAATTTGGAAAAAAATTAAACATTAATATAACAGTAAAATATCTTTAAATCAGGCTAAAATAATAACGATATGTTGGACTAATAACTATACTAATTAAAGTAAGAAAAACACTTTTATTCTATGTTCCTATAGAAAGAAAAAAAAGTCCTACAACCTAAATATCAAAAGCTCTAAAAGTTCTCAACTACAGTAAAATATTTCCGATGCTTTTATATTTCACCCACGTTAATAATCCATTTTATATTGTACATATCACTTTAACAAAGCGTTTATTCAATTTTTTCCTCTACAAAGATGATTATTAGGCTATCACTAAGATATGAAAATATCATAATTAAGTATATGAATATATTTTTTTAATGAAATTTTGTTTATTTGAGGCTGAAAATAATAAAAAAATATGCTTTTTTAACCTTATTTGGGTTTTTAAAATATTTGTAAGCCAGCATTTCCTGAATGCCAAAAACATCTGCTTTTGATTGGGTTTTAATTAATTTTGGCAAATTGAGAAAGACCTTGTTTTTCTACAAAACAACTTGTTTGTTTTGGATTGTCAAAATAAATTTTGTTTCTGTTATTGAATTAAAGTTCTAAAGTTTACATAAAAATTTAAATGGTTACCATATACCAAAAATTGGACCAAGTGTGGTGGTTTAATTTTTGATATTGTAGATAGATTTTGAAAACTTTTGCTCAATTATATTTTGTATGAGATAGCTATTAATATATATAACCAATCGATTATATATATTGATCAATCAAATATTTGAATATAACATTACTATAGTTCACCAGACCCTTCAAGTCTTACTCTAATTAATGTCATGATGATTAAAATCACCGATAATTACAACTTACATTTTGGGATTTTTTGGAAAAGATTACAAACAATTTATATTTAACTCAACAGAAACATCTTTTGTTGAGGTGGTAGGTGGTTTGTAGGTACATCCTCCAATTAATGTTTGATGACTTCTTATTACAGATTGAACACAGATTTTGATAATTAATCACATATTTCTTCATTGTTTACAATTTTAAATTTTTAATTTCAAATTCCTATGCTTGAGCTATAACAAATTATTAAACTAGAATCAGTTATCCTAAATTATCCTTGTACTGAAATTTGTTAACTGAAATGTCATTTAGTTTTTATCTAAAATCGGAATTTGTTTTTACACGTGATTTTTGAAACCAATAGACGCGCTTCCGGTACTATAAGAAAATTTTCTTATAGTACCGACTTTCGGTACTCTATCCACGGCGATAAATAAATGAGGAGAATTAACTTATGTTTTTAAATTTAACTTTCATTTTTGATAATATATAAGAGAGCATTTATAATATTTATATGTTATATCTACTAAATAATATATACCTTTGATTTGGACGCTTTCCTTTTAATCTACTTTTAAATTTTTTCCCTCCATGATAGCATGCATAATGCATACTATAAAATAACAAATCGTCATTTAACGTTCGTTTAATGCCTTTTTTCCTTGCAGATGCAATAGATCTACTCTCTCGTTTGTATAGAGAAACGTTAAATTCAATTTCATAGTTCTTAATCGCTTCTTCTAATTCTTTTAAAGAGTTAAAACTATCACCAACATTCAAAGTCATTGTTAACGCAAATCTTTGATAAAATCGAAACAATTATGCTCCTCCGCGTCCGAAAGTTTGGACGTATCTTTAACTTATTTTGTTAGGAATACGTCTAGACGTACCCGTAGCCACTGCGAAGAAATTTACTGTTCCACGCAGCTTTTATTTGCCTCGTGCACTTTAAGCGATAATGTTTTCATTTAAAGCTACGGTAACCAAATTTTAATCCCTACTTAATGCGATACTGCCCAAGGTTAAAAAATATACTGACAACGGATACTGCCAATGGTGTACGGAAAAATAATTGGCTTCGACGCCGGCTCTAGCCCAATAAGCAACATTGGAAGAAGATGTAAACTTCCTAGTTAAATACTCTTCCGCGGTGCTTTGAAATAAGACCGGACTTCTGGGAGCAACTAAATAACTATACAAAAAAACTCAAATAGAAAATTAGAGAAAGGTGGTGAGACCCTACGAGCATTTGTTTTTAAAAGTTACGTTCTAAATGTATTTTAAATGTTTTTAAACGTCTTTTAAACATTCTTACGTAAAATACGTTTAAAAAACGTTTAAAAGACATTTAGAACGTAACTTTTAAAAACAAATGTCCGTTGGGGACTTGCTAATTATATTGTAGTATTATTATGTCCTTAAAAATCTTTTTTGGCAATTTCATTTTGGTAATAATTTGAATTATTTTTGAACTCTAAATATAAAAAAGTTAAAATAATACATGAAACGGTGGTAGCAAACTAGCTCTGGCGAGACAAACACGTTTTGTTAACGAGTACATATTGAATTTCTAAAAATTGGAGTTCATAAATTACTACGGCTTGAAAACAGCCCTATGTTGATAATCTATCTTTTAAGTACAAATGCTCAAAACAACCACTCTACAATTATTTTTTTGTTCCCAAATTATATTGGTATAAGTCATAAATAGACAATTCACAGTAATAATTTATTCTGCTTTGTCTTTATCTAATAATACTTGAGTTATTAAACCGTGATGATTTTTGGGGTTGAACAAAATAAAGCACATTTATGTAAATATTTTTTCAAGTAAATCACTGATGTATTCACTTAGGTTAACAAACATTGTTAGTTTGTTGTAGCATGTTAATGCCGAACTCATAATTGGAATTATGCACTTGATCAAATTAAGTACGTTTACACAAATGAGAAGAAAATAAAAGAACAATATTTGTGATATTTTTGGTTTTGCTGTTAGGATGAAATTAAAGTGGTTTTTGACAATTGCAACAATAACTTTCCTATGTGAGTCAAAGATATTTGTTAAATTTCAACACAAAACAACAACAAGTTTTTATTTCTGTTGTTTTGTAAGTTGTTAGTTTTTGATAAAGTTTAAACTAATGCTGGGACTAAAGATATTTATAAGATTTTAAATCTATGCTTTTTTTTACTCACTAAGCAGAATCTTATTAAAATAATCTAAATTATTAAAGTAACGTTAAAGAAAACTAGCCTTGATAAGTTTTCATTCCTGATATTAAAAGTTTAGAGAACCAAGATACAAGTCGTCTCTTGAGCTCGTAAAAATAGTTGAAAATAAATCAGAAAAAAGTAAAGAAACAGTTAAAAATTTGTAATAGCGAATTAACTCACGTTGGCGCATCAACAGAGCTAGAGTTTTTATCAGACAAAAGTAATAGCCGTAAAGAATTAGACATTTTATTTGAATTAGCGCAACCGGACCCAAGTAATCAAAAATAATAGTCAGTAAAGAATTTTTTTTAATTTACTACGTTTAAAAAGCACAACGTACTCTCGCCTGCCAAATAAACGAGGGTGGGGGAGGGGAGGGGGGGAAAGGGGTTTTAATAAATGGGAGGGTGGGAAATATTTCTAAAATCTAATAAATTAGGGGGGGGGGGGAAGTCTTAATAAACCGGAGGGTCAGAATTTTAAGAAAGCTTAAAACACAAAAACACTAGAAGAAAATTATTAAACTCAGAAGAACTTTTTTTGAAACTGTACTTTCTATGTACAAGTTTTGAATTTTTCTCTGTTCGGATCCGTTTTCTTCATATTAAGGCGCGCAATATTATATTGCTTTTTTATAATCCCAGTGGCCACCGGACCAAAAAAAGACGTCTTTTGAACGTTCAAAAGACGTCCAAAACGTGTATAAGATGTTTAGAAGACGTCTCTTTTACGCCCGTGCTCACTGGGATGATGACAAAAAATATTTATCCTTCTCTTTATGAACAAACTTTCTTGTAGTGGCGTAGCAAGGAACTTTGCGACCGGGGCTAAAAATAAATTTTGCGCCCATTTATTCCCATTAGGGAGTTTTTCTTGTATATTTTAGATCCACTGCCAATAAGTCTTATGTTTAGCAGATATGTATAATATTTTTTAAACCATGTGTTAGCGTTGGAACTGCTAAAGATTTATATAATTGGATAATTAAAGATGGATGTGCGAATCGGATACCAGAAAGAATCAGAGTTTGCACTGTTGTTTGGAAATGTGATACCCTATTGTAAATATTTGATCTATTTAGTGAGGCAAAATTGAATTTTTCTGTAACCCACATGAAACACAGATGATTAAATTTTTCTTTTGGTATTATTTGATGGTCGTCAAGTTTTCTTGCAATTAGTTACTTTTCGTTTTCTAAAGAGCAAAAGTTCCGCTCTGACAGCATTGAGTTCTATGCTGATTAATTTATTGTAAACATTACACGTTTTTACAAGCCTTTCAAGAGCAGATAGAGTAGAGCTAAGCAGAATGAGGTCGTCAGCATAATCAATAACATCTGTGAAGTTTCCATGTATAGAAGTACCAACAAAGCTATCATTTTTTATAGTTTCATATAATTTTTGGGTGTATATGTTTTATAAGTGGGGCGACAAAATTGATCCTTGCCTTACACTTTGCTTAAGAGCAAATGAAACTGAATTGGAGCCTAGGTAAGAGACAGTTACACTACAGTTGTGATATAAATAAGATACAATGTTAACTATTTGGCAAGGTAGGTTTTTATCAAAGTAAAGTTTATCAAAGAGAAGATTCCAGTAGCAATTGTCAAAAGCTTTTTCAGCATCTAGCGAACATAAGTAAGTAGGCGATGTGTTGTTGGAAATGCGGAAATACAGAAATACAAACTTTTTTATGCAGAAATTTAAAATGAAATAATAAAAATAAAATAAGAAAATAGAAGTAAGAAAATATGAAATTAAAATAAAAAACTAAATGAATAAAATATGACTTAAACGCAAATAATATATGAATATATTTATATTTACATTAAAAAAAGTATATTTTTGTAAAAAAACGCATAATATAATTTATATTTCCGCGAATAGGTGTCACGTGGGGGGGGGGGGTGCCATTGTCCTAAAAAAAAAAAAAAAAAGGGCCTCGTTTTCGAAAACTTGCCGACTGCCATGACGACATTTGCCGACTAACTGTCTATACTACCGACTACCCTATATCGAAAGGGTCGACATTTGCCGACTAAAAATCATTGATGGGGGCGGGGGTATTACACCCCACATCCCCTTCGCGCCGGCCTTGTTTACAGTGGAAGTAAAATCTGTCAACTACTTGAACTTACAATTGAAGTAAGATCTAACAATTTTTATTCTATATTAAATAATTATTTATTATAGAATAAAAATTGTAATATCTTTAATAATTGTGTATTAAAGATATTACTTAAACAGCAATTATGTTTTATATACATAAATTTAAAAAATATTATGTTTATATGTAAATGAACATAATATTTTTAAATTTATGAAATTAATTTTTTTTTTCTGTTAAAAAAAGTAAAACCATATATTACATTGTTTTATTTTTTTAACAGAAAAAGTAAAGATAGTTTGATAATTTTGTGCCCTATTAAATCTTTGCACCCGAGGCAATTTCCCCACCTCGAATCGCTATTGCTTTCTTGACATCTTAAAAAGCTTTATTTCAAAATTGAAAACAAATAAAATTAACACTGACTAATAGTTTTCGCTGTTGCTCGCGCTTAAGGTACCGTCGCTTTAATTTTTTTCTTAAAGTCAAGGTAGTGATTTCTGATTGGTTGTTTTTTTTTCTTTTATTTAAAGAATGCATGCTCAAACTAAAACCCTAAATTAGTGGATGTATGTACACTCACTGCGCCTATCCCTAAATCAGTGGATGTATGTACACTCACTGCGCCTTGCCCTATATCAGTCGATGTTTGTAAATAATAAACATAAATGTAACTTTCAATATACTAAAATAATAATAACTTTCAATAAAAAAAATTGATCTAAAAACATTTAAAAACATTTTTCAGATTCTTAGACTCGATCCCGAAATTCAGTGAGTGATAAACAATTGAGATACCACAATGCTAAACGCACATCTCATAGATGCAATTCTTTTTAAATGTGTACAAAAACTTTCAAATCAACCAATTATATTCGCAGCCGTGGCTTAAAACAAACCAATCAAACTATACTACCGTGACTTAAAAAATTAGATAAAAAATTAGACCAACGCGCAGTGAATCGACTCATACAATCTAGCTGGATAAAAATGTTTTGTTCACGAATTCGATTTTTCTAGTCATGAAAGGTTAAAATAAATAATATTTTGTTGTTTTATTGAATAATTAACTTGAGTTTAATAAATTATACGTTTTTATTTGCGGAGGATAAGAGACCCTACCCTTAACTACTACCCTCCCCCCTATTTCCCCTCATTGCAGCAACCTCTGTTATAATAAAAATAGAATAATAAATATATTTGTAAAGCAAGAATACATAATATTATACAATAAATTTTATAATTAGTTATCAGAAAACTTGTCGTTTATATCCTCTAAACACCTATCTATTGAATCTTCAGATGACTCATCATTTGATTCATCGAACAAGTTACAATTTGCAATTCTTGGAGCCGGAACAATCAAATTCAAAACCTCTACTGGCAATTTTTTGCTTTTTATTGCAGGCAGCTCTCTAAGTGAATTGATAACAGGGTCGGATGTTATTAAGAGCATATTCAACAAATCCATATTTGGAGAAATGCGTGAATTTTTCCTGGTATGATGTTCTCAAAATCTCCTACAATCTTTATTTCGTGCTTCTTGAGATTCTTCTGAAAGTTGTCCAATCGGAAGAATACACGACCTAATAACTTCCGTGCTATGCATTAAAATTTTGTGGACTGTAACCGGCTTGTAATTCCACGAATATAAATGTAAATATAAAGTCCTTGTTTCGAAACAAATTTTTTCAAATTTGACACAATTAATGTCATGACCAGAAGATAGCGTTCTTAATAAAACACTAAATTTTTTAATTAATTCGACGTTTAATCCTGTAATCTCTCCGCTCTTTTCTGGATTTAAAAAAAACCTGCGAGCTGTGTTGCCATCATTTGTATTGCCATAATGTGGTTTCGGTCTATCTACAATTAGTCCCATTTGTTTTTTAAACTTTTGTCTAATCTCTTCCGAACGTTCTCTCATACGACATTTATCCCCATTGCTTCTAACTTGCCACTTTTTAATGTCTAAACGGTAACTAATGTGTAGCAAGCATTCAAATGTACGTATCCATGCATGCAAAGTAGACAAACCAAAATTGTAATTTTCTTTTTTATCAACCATTCCTTTTAATTCGCTATTCATTTTTTTTGGAGTAGCACCACAAATATAACATTTTTGTGTAGAGCGCGTATCGGTTAAAGCATTACAAACTTTTCCGTCTGTCATTGTAAGTAACAGATTGTGCTTCATAGTGAATTTAAATTTGCCAACAGTACACAGTGTTGGAAGAAGTTCAGATATTTCTTTCAAAACTTTGTCTGTTTCTATTACAGTAAATTCCTGTGTTTCTTTTGAAAATATAAATTTAATTGGTCGGCAATAAAGTGTTGACAATGGCCGAGGATTTTGCCAAATAATAGTATTAGAGTCATCACTCAATCTCAACGGGACAAACGCAAACACAAACAGAAATTTATCATTATCATCGGAGTTCTCAAATCTTTGTTTATAGGTACTGTGGCCAGAACTTCCGTCACATCCCCATTTGCTTATTAATGTAAGCGACAAATTAGAGGATGCATTTTCGGAAAATCGACTTATTGTTTCAATTAAGCGTTCAGTTGTTTTATTCAATATGGCTTGAAGTTTAATTTCAGCTCGTGTTTCTGAGATAGAAATAAATTCTTCAGGAGGGTAACACAACCTTTTGGATTTACATAAATTATAGTGAGACGGAAATACTTCATGCCCTGCTTTTAACAAAACACTTCATGCC